ATTATTATTATTATTATTGTTATTATCAATATTATTATTATTATTATTGTTATTATTATTATTATTATTATTATTAGTAGTAGTAGTAGTAGTATTTCTACTATTATTTTGAGTGTTTGTACGTGCATATGCGAGTGTGTGTGTGTGTGTGATAGTGTGTCCGTGTGCTTGCATGTGTGCGCGTGTGTGACTGTCTAGCTGTTATTTGTCGGAATGCCCAAGTATCTGCCTGTCTACCAGTCTATCTGTCTGTCTGTCTTCTCCGCATTTATGTCGAACTGTCTATGTGCCTGTCAGTATAGCTCTATATCTATTTGTCTGCCTTTTTGCATGATCTATCTGCTTTTCAATGCTTGTCTACCTATCTGTCTGTGTGTTTGTCCGTTGTCTGTCTTTACATATGTATTTCTGTCTACCTTCCTGTCTGTCTTTCTGCTTACTTGCCTGCCTTTATGTCTTTCTCTCTCTCTCTCTCTCTCTCTCTCTTTCTCTCTCTCTCTCTCTCTCTCTCTCTCTCTCTCTCTCTCTCTCTTCTCTCTCTCTCTCTCTCTCTCTCTCTCTCTCTCTCTCTCTCTCTCTTTCTCTCTCTCTCTCTCTCTCTCTCTCTCTCTCTCTTTCTCTCTCTCTCTCTCTCTCTCTCTCTCTCTCTCTCTCTCTCTCTCTCTCTCTCTCTCTTTCTCTCTCTCTCTCTCTCTCTCTCTCTCTCTCTCTCTCTCTCTCTCTCTCTCTCTCTCTCTCTCTCTCTCTCTCTCTCTCTCTCTCTCTCTCTCTACCTGTCTTTCTGTCACTAAGAAACTCTATCTGCGGTTCTCACGAAAAGGTCTTTATCACATGAAGCGAAATGGCTTTTGAATCTGAATAACTGTGACGGCGCTGAAGTGTGAACTTTGAAGCATCCTTTTTATGGAGGGATATCAACGCCGCTGCTCTTTATGTTTGTCTGTGAAGTGGATTTTATTATCTCTCTTCTATTTTCGTTTTTTTTTTTTGTCTGTCTCTTTCTTTGTCGTTATTTTCTTTTTTTTTGTTTTCTCCTTTATTTCTTTATTTCTCTTTCCGTCTTTCTCTGTGTCTGTCATTATATTTTTCTCTCTCTTTCTCTCAACCCCCCCTCGCTCTTTTCTTTTTCCTTTCGTTCTATTCTCCCTTCTTTTCCTCCTCCCTCTCTCTCTCCCTCCATCTCTATCTCTCCCTCCCTCCGTCCCCACCCTCCCTCCCTCTCTTCCGTCCCTCCCTCTCTTCCGTCCCTCCCTCTCTTCCGTCCCTCCCTCCCTATCTTCTCTCCCTCCCTCCCTCCCTCCCTCCCTCCCTCCACCCCCACCCCTCCACCTTCCACATTAGCTGGTCTCCACACCTGCGCCTTCCTGAAATTACTCTCCACTTGCTCACTGACCCGAAGATATGAATGAAAATATAAACGTATGTAAACCCGAATAGCATGATCATATCTAGGATTTGAGATTTCAGTTTTTTAAAAATTTTAGTGATTCGTTGATTGTTAAAAAAAAAAAAATGTGGCAGGAATTCCAGAGTAGGGAATGCGGCTATCTTCCCTTTGAAGTTTGTATGTGTGGTTGGCTGGCTCTGTGTGTCTGTTTGTCTGTCCGTATGTATGTATGTATGGATGGATGGATGGAGGGATGGATGGATGTATGTCTCTGTGAGTCTGTCTTTGTGTGTGTGTGTGTGTGTGTGTGTGTGTGTGTGTGTGTGTGTGTGTGTGTGTATATATATATTTATATATATATATACATATATATATATATATATACATATATATATATATATATATATATATATATACGTACATATATATATATATATATATATATATATATATATATATATATATATATATATATATATATATATATATATTTACGTATATATATATATATATATATATATATATATATATATATATATATATATATATATATATATATATATATATATATATATATATACGTAAATATATATATATATATATATATATATATATATATATATATATATATATATATATATATATATATATATATATATTTATATAAGTATATATATATGTATGAAATACTTTATGTCCTGTCTGTGTACGAGTATTTGCATATCTCTGAGCGCCGTAGGTCTCGCAGGTGTACCACAGGTGTTGACCCACACCTGTTAATTGACCAAAAAAGGGGGGGGAGGGGGGGGGGTGATGTTGAATCTGTCATGACTCAAAGTGAAATTAGTTCCGTCATTTTATGAGATTTTGCTTCCTCTCCTTTTTCAGTTCTTGAGGAATATATTAGTTTATTTATAGCTGACTTTGATTGACTTTATGAAGAGAGAGAGAGGGAGAGAGGGAGAGAACGAGAGGGGGAGAGAGGGAGAGGGAGTGAGAGGGAAAGAGGGAGAGGGAGAGAGCGAGGGAGAGGGAGAGAGGGAGAAAGAGAGGGAGAGGGAGAGGGAGAGAAGGAGAAGGAGAATGGAAAGGAGAAAGAAAGATAGAAAGGAGGTGGAAAAGGAAGAAAAGGAGGAAGAGGGAGAAGAAGAGAGAGGGATAGAGGGAGAGCGAGAAGGAGAAGGACATAAAGAGAGGGAGAAAGAAAGTGAGATGGTTAGAAAGAATGAGAAGAAGTGAGATTCGGGAAAGTTAGAGAGAGAGAGAAAGAGCGAAAAAGAGAAAGATCTATCTTTCTATCTATCTATCTATCTATCTGTCTATATATATTCATACACATGTATATATACATACAGAGAGAGAGATAGATAGATAGATAGATAGATAGATAGATAGATAGATAGGTAGATAGATAGATAGATAGATAGATAGATAGCTAGAGAGAGAGAGAGAGAGAGAGAGAGAGAGAGAGAGAGAGAGAGAGAGAGAGAGAGAGAGAGAGAGAGAGAGAGAGAGAGAGAGAGAGAGAGATGCACAGACTTCGGCTCTCGACACATCTCATCACAGGCACTTGGCACTCGTCTTCGTTAACCTTTGCTGACCTTTCGTGACCTCGCTCACTCGCAGTCCTTCTTACTGACATCACATGCCTATGTCTATTTCCCCATGCCTGATTTGTAACTATCAGTCAGTCAAAAAGCTAAACCTTCTCGAGAGACGGAGAGAGAGAGAGAGAGAGAGAGAGAGAGAGAGAGAGAGAGAGAGAGAGAGAGAGAGAGAGAGAGAGAGAGAGAGAGAGAGAGAGAGAGAGTTTCATTACTATTAATTAATCAACGCATCGTTATTTTATTAAGTAATTAAGATATTACCATTACTTGATTAACACATTATGACTTAATCAAAATTTCTTTGCTGATTTATATTTTATTTTTATTTTTGATATTTTATGTATTCTGTATTATTATCATTGTTGTTTTTATCTTCTTTGTTTATTGTTGTTATTTATTAATAATTATTATCATTAAATTAATATTATTTGTTTATTTGTTATCAATATTATTATCATTATTATTATTTTCCTCATCATTTTTTTCATTATCCTAATTATTGTTATTATTATTATTATTACCATCATCGTCATTATCATTATCATTATCATTATCATTATCATTACTGTTATTATTATTATTATTATTTTTATTATTATTATTATTATTATTATTATTGTTATTATTATTATTGTTATAATAATAATAATAATTATCATTATTGTTATCATTATCATTATTATTATTATTATTATTATTATTATTATTATTATTATTATTATTATTATCATCATCATTACTATTACCATTATTACTCAGTCTTACGTAACTGATATGTTATTATCTAAAGCCAATGACCGAACACAGACTGTACCCTTGTTATCAGGACTTCCTTTTGGGGAAGTGCAGCGAGGGGGGGGGGGGTAGGAGGAAAGGGTGGGGGGATGGGGAAGGGGAGGAGGTGGTGAGAGGGAGGAGGAGGAGGAGGAGGAGGAGGAGGAGGAGGAGGAGGAGGAGGAGGAGGAGGAGGAGGAGGAGGAGGAGGAGGAGGAGGAAGGGGGTGGGGAATGGAAAAGAAGAAAGAGGTGGGGGGAATGGGGAGGAGGGGGGGAGGTGGTGGGGGGAGTAGGGAGGAGGAAAGGGGTGGGGAATGGGGAGGGATGGGGAGGAGGTAGTAGGAGGAAAGTGTGGAATAGGTAAAAAGAAAGGGAAGGAGAATATGAGGAAAAAGGAGAATGATAATATGCAGAAAATAAGAAGAGAAAATAATGAAACAAAAAAAAAAGAAGTAAAAGAAAGAATTGGGAGGAAGAGGAAGAGGAAGAGCAGAAAAGATAATAAGATGAAAAGAAAGAAGACGAAAGAGAGAAAGAGACGGAAATAGATGAAAACTATAACATTTTCTTACATTTCCACCTTACTGTTTTTACTTCATTTTTCGTATGTGTACGTTTCTCCACCGCCAATTGTACGTAAATCTGTATGTATGTAGAAACAGGCCTACTACTGTAAACATTTCCGATGGCAAAACAGTCTACAGTTTACATGAAAGACTAAACGTGGAGACATAAGATAGACAAAAGTGAAGAGAATATCCGCCTTATATCCGTCTGCAGAGAGCCGGGAAGTGACTGAATGCAAAACTCTTTTGTCGCGAAATGTAAGATATAAGATAATATGGTTTAGGGTATAAGGTAAGGTGTAAGGAATAAGGTATAAGGTAAGATATAAGGTATGAGGAATAAGGTAAGGTATCTTGGTGTATATGTTTGCTTTGTTAGATTCCGTTGATGTGTGATGATGTCTACATAGATGTTGGGTAGGTTTTATCTTTTTATATATGTTATGCGTATGTACGTGTATGTAGTATGTATAAATGCATTTATATATGCACACACACACACACACACTCACACACACACACACACACACACACACACACACACACACACACACACACACACACACACACACACACACACACACACACACACACACACAGTCCACAGAATTCCACGTCCAATTCCAGTGCTAATAATTCGCCCCCCCCCCCCCCCCCCCAGGTACAGCCAATCTTGCAGAAGGCGACGACGGAAGCACTCGTGACGTCACCGCCCTATCCTGCAACGCCGTAGGTGATGCAACACCCGATCGCCTCCGTCATCGACCCCAATTCTCTCCTTATCTCTCCGTCCTTCTCACCTTCTTTCGCCCGTCATTTCCCTCCCACACATCGCCCGCTATCACCTGCCGTCTCTATCCACCTCCTGCGCCTCGACTGACCTCCTCCTCGTCGATTGACCTGCAACACTTGCAACAATGGCTGCTCATCAACTGGTCGCCACCTTGATCTTCCGTCTGCTGCTGCCTCTCGTCCTGGGGATATGTGAGTACGATTCGATCTCGTTGATAGTCGTATTTAAGGAGAATTGGATTCCTTGTAGTTTGTTTTCTCTCTCTCTCTCTTTTTTTTTTTTTTTTTTTTTTTAAATCGGACCAGGTCATTGGTTCTTAGCTTTTTTTTATCGCCACGCCTCCTATGGGACTTTGTTTCTTCCCTCCACGTCCCCCTTGCATCTATGAATAAAATTCCTTCACAGATTTTCAATGAAATAAAGAATATGTTTTTTTTTATGGAGTATGAATTAGTCATATTATTATTGATCTGATAATATCAATCAAGAGAATAATAATTATAATTAGAGGAATTCCTGTGTTTTATTCCCAGTTAGGGAAATTACTGACGACCCCCATTTTAAGAACCACTGAGCTAAATTTGTCTTTGCTAGTTTATCTTTTTAACTTATATAGTCTTTCTTGGAATATTTATACATCGTAAGAATACGTAATTTACTTTCTGTTGTAATCTTTACCGAAATTACAGTCGCCCGAAATAAAAGCAATTTTAATGTGGAAGCAAATGCATGGAGTCAGCAAGGCCTGGCCCGAATCTGCATGGTATTGATCCCCTTACCTGCCTTCGGTCATGTCATCTATACTTCCCACCCTCGGTCATGTCACTTATACGAGGCCAGTGACCATGCTTGCGTCTATATGAATCCTTTTTTTACCGAATTTAAGTTCAGACTATATTTAGATGGACATTAGAACTTGGTGTTATTAGAAATCAATAACAAAATAATGTTGTAAACTGCAATTTAATGGTATTTTTGTTGCATCTGTTACGTTGCTATAATATTGTTTTACCGGAATTTAAAGAATTAAGTAGTTTTTTCTTAACCTTTCTGTGTTCTGGTTTCCTTTTTTAATTTTTCTCTCAGTTCCCTCTTCGCTTATCTGAATGCTCTTCATCGTTTGGAAAAGAATGGAATAAAAGAACTTGAGAATAAGGGAATAAACATTAGAACAGAGAGCAAAGAGGGAGAAGGGGAGAAATGGATGAGAAAAAAGATAAAGAGAAGGAAAGGGAAATGGAAGAGAGGAGGGAAAAACAGGAGAAAGAAGTATAGGAAAGGTAGATGGAAAAGGGAAGAGAGGGGATAGAGAGAACTGAAAAAAAGTAGGATGGGGAAAGGAAAAAGGGATATGTAAGGAGAGAGGGAAAAGGGAAGATAGTCTGATAAGGAAATAGCGAAAAGAAAGGGAAGAATAAAGAGAGAAGAAAGTAAAGGAATGGGGGTGGAAGAGAAAAGAAAAAAATGAGAGAGGAATTGCGAGAGAGAATGAGGGGAACAAGAGAAGGGAAATGAAAGGGAAAGAGAGGGGACAGAGAAAAGAAGGGAAAGGAAAAAAAGAAGGAAAAAAAGTGAAAAGGAAGGTGATGGGGATAAAAAAAAAGTGAAAAAGAAGAATAGGGGGATAGGGAAAATAAGGGAGTTGGACAAGAAAAACAGAAGAACAGAAGAGTACAGTGAGGAAACAGGAGAGAGTGAGAGGATAGATGAAAGGGAGGGAGAGTAAAGAGAAAAGATGGGAGAGACAGAAAGAAAGTGAAAGAGAAGGGGAATAGGAAACGGATAGAAAGGAGGAAAAAGAAGAGGGGAACGGGAGAGGAGAAAGGAAGGGAAAGAAATCAGATAATGAAAAGAGGGGCGCAAGAGAGGGAAAAAGGACGAGAAAAGGGGGCATAGAGGAGGAGGAAAACACCCCCCCCCCACCGCACTGACCTTGTTATGCCAATTAATGACCTGGCGAAAGGTAATCATTTGCTAGCAGAGGGTGGACCTACGTGCCTCTGCTGCCTGCTTCTCCTACGACCACACCCACACAGAACGACCACTTTACGACTGAACTACGACCGCGCTTAATATCACAACAACATTACTTTATAACGTAACATTTAATTGTAACAACCACTCAACATGACTATATAATTTGCCATTTAATTGTAACAAACATTCGACAGCACAACTATATATAATTTACCACGTGATTGTAACAACTATTTAACAACTACACACACGCACACACACACACACACACACACACACACACACACACACACACACACACACACACACACACACACACACACACACACACACACACACACACACACACACACACACACACACACACACACACACACACACACATACACTCACAGACACACACACACACACACACACACACACACACACACACACACACACACACACACACACACACACACACACACACACACACACACACACACACACACACACACACACACACACACACACACACACACACACACACACACACACACACACACACACACACACACACACACATATATATATATATATATATATATATATATATATATATATATATATATATATATATATTATTAATGTATGATTGCAATAACCACTCAACAACATAAGTATATGAATTACCATATTACTATAACAACCACACAATGATTACATTATATCTAAAAAACACGAGCCAACGACCGCAATCACGCCCATTCACGCCCAGTTTGTCACGCTAACTCCACACGACGCCCACACTCACAGCTACTCACACCCGCGTCAAAACCACAATTATATCAGACAACAGAGAGGTCACGATAAGACTGCATGCTTAAAAAAGTAAATAAATAAATAAATAAATAAAGTAAAAAAATATTGTTGATTAATAACAACTTTGTCGTATTGCGTGCTGCTTTGTTTGTATACGAGCGTGAAGGCATTAAAGAATACAACAGAACAACGAACACAAACATCACAACAAGATCTCCACAACATAGCAACATCAGTCCCTCCACCGCCCATCTCCTCCTCCGCCCACGCCAAAACCCACGCCCACGCGCCCTGATTAACGACCCCCATCCCCCCCCTTGTCTCAGTCCAAGCGATAGGGAGAGCCACATGTGTTCTGTTACCGAGTACGACTACCTACGTGCGACCACCTACGTACCACCACCTACGTACGACCATCTGCGTACGACCACCTAGGTACGACCACCTAGGTACGACCACCTACGTACGACCACCTACGCACGATCACCTACGTACGACCACCTACGTACGACCACCTATGTACGACCACAGTCGTATTCATGACCCTTGGCAACTTTGGCACTCATCTGCCGCCCACGCTCGCGGGCGTAATGCTCGCTTTGACCTTTCGGTGTTTTCGTTGTTATCTTTTATCGTGGCCTCGCTCTCTCCCTTCTTGGTTTCCCCGTTCCTCGTTTCTCCCTTTTCTTTGTTTCTTCGTTTTCTCCTTTCTTTCTGTTTGTCTGTTTTTTCTCTCTCTTTTGTTCTGCTTCTTTAGGTCTGTCTGTCTCTCTTTTTCTCTCTCCTCCCCTTTCTATGTCTGTCTGTCTGTCTGTCTCTGCCTCTCTCTCTCTCTCTCTCTCTCTCTCTCTCTCTCTCTCTCTCTCTCTCTCTCTCTCTCTCTCTCTCTCTCTCTCTCTCTCTCTCTGTCTCTCTCTCTCTCTCTTTATTTATTTCCTTCTGTGTGTGTGTGTGTGTGTGTGTGTGTGTGTGTGTGTGTGTCTGTCTGTCTGTCTGTCTGTCTGTCTGTCTGTCTGTCTGTCTGTCTGTCTGTCTCTCTCTCTCTCTGTCTCTCTCTCCCTCTGTCTGTCTCTGTCTCTCTCTCCCCTTTCTCTGTCTGTCTGTCTGTCTCTCTTTCTCTCTCTCTCCCTCTCTCTCCATTCCTCTTCTCCCCATCCCTTCCTTAACCCTCTTTTATTTGTTCATCTATTTACCCGTTCACTTATTTTTTATTTTCTCTTCATTCATTTATGTATGTATTATTTATTATTATTATTACCATCATCGTCATTATCATTATCATTATCATTATCATTATCATTATCATTATCATTATCATTATTATTATTATTACCATCATCGTCATTATCATTATCATTATCATTATCATTATTATTATTATTATTGTTATTATTATTATTATTACCATCATCGTCATTATCATTATCATTATTATTATTATTACCATCATCGTCATTATCATTATCATTATTATTATTATTACCATCATCGTCATTATCATTATCATTATCATTATCATTATTATTATTATTACCATCATCGTCATTATCATTATCATTATCATTATCATTATTATTATTATTTTATTATTATTATTACCATCATCGTCATTATCATTATCATTATCATTATCATTATTATTATTATTACCATCATCGTCATTATCATTATCATTATTATTATTATTACCATCATCGTCATTATCATTATCATTATTATTATTATTACCATCATCGTCATTATCATTATCATTATCATTATCATTATTATTATTATTACCATCATCGTCATTATCATTATCATTATTATTATTATTACCATCATCGTCATTATCATTATCATTATCATTATCATTATTATTATTATTACCATCATCGTCATTATCGTTGTTCTTATAATTATTATTGTTGCTATTATTATTATTACCATCATCGTCATTATCATTATCATTATTATTATTATTACCATCATCGTCATTATCATTATCATTATCATTATCATTATCATTATTATTATTATTACCATCATCGTCATTATCATTATCATTATTATTATTATTATTGTTATTATTATTATTATTATTATTATTATTTTATTATTATTATTATTTTATTATTATTATTATTGTTATTATTATTATTATTATTATTTATATTCATTATTATTTACTTATTTATTATTATTTTATCGGTGCAGAAAGAAATTATATTCTTGTTCTCGTTCATCGGTTTGTCTGTCTGTCTGTCTGTCTGTAGGATCAGTAGGCCTATGCCGAAAAAAAAAGTCACTGGCGGATTGTGATAGAATGAAAATTTATGTGCGGGTTGACCATGGCTTATTTAATTGCAATTTTCGTTAGTGATTTGGTTTTTACTTGCGGACCTATAGCGTAAAGATTCGTCGCCATTGTTAT